AGTACCATTCAGTATCAATGTAATTAATGTCTTCTACCTTCATCTTGATTGACAATAACAACAACTTCTCGTATGTTCTGTCCTAACTCCTCAGACTTGGCTAGTTAGACCTAGTTCTGGTAAAATATTGCTCACCCTTTTTTAACTGACAAGACAAAAAAAAAATAGTTTAATTATATCCTTCTTTGTGTAGCAAAGACTGCTGACTTCCCCCCAATTGAAACACAAGGTGGGCAAAACAAAGATCATGCAAGTCCTGAAAAAGTTGTATCAGTGAGTTTTTTAAATTACTGATATTAATCTAGGTCTACACTGATTCAATAAAGAACAAAGTTAGGAGTGAATTTTTGTAACAAAGGCAGTAAGTTCATTTCCAGAGCTCCCCATAGATGCATATAATTTAATTCCAAAATGTACACACCATCTCAATTATCCCTCATGGCAACACTGAAAAATAGGGATTACCAACTCCATTTACAGTTGGAAAATTAATTTGAAAAGTTAATTTTTTATACTAATATCATAATTGGTCAAGCTGGAATTTCAACCCATGTCACTCCAAAGCCTATATTGATGTTCTTTTCTTTATTTCATAGTGCAGCACCCTGTTAACTACAAAACAAATAGAACTACATCTCACTGATGATGATAAATCTATAGTCACTTAAGTATATCAGTATTCTAGTTTGGGAGGAAAAAGAAGTAGGGGAGGAGAAAAAATTGCTAATTTTGGTTATGATTTATGATATAGGACTAAGGTTTTCTTTTTTTTTTATTGTCTTTTCATTACAGTGTATCCAGCTCCTTTAGATTCTGTTAGAAAATAATTAAATGTTTTGTACTGTATTGTCTCAATCAATATTCAGTAATTCTAAAGGGAAAATGTAATCAGATTTACAGAGCATTTTGACATTAGAAAGTAAACTTTTAGTATGTAAATTGTATAGATATTTGATTACAACCCAAAAAGAAATAAATTTATGTTTACATGAATCAATGGATTTTATATAATTCCATGAAGAAAAGAAAATCAGATATAAGACCTTTTCTTTAAATATTAAAGTTCATCATCTACATGCTAAATTACCAGTCACTTATTTGTTATACCAAAAGTTTTGTTGTTTCTAAACTTTAGAGTTCTTATTTTGTGTAAATAAATTTAAAACAGTATTTAATTATCATAAAATAGAACAGAAGAGTATATCATTTGGTAGGATTTTTAATATCTTTCTTCCACATCTACTGTTTTTTGACTCTTTAAAAAAGTTCTTCTATTCACAAAAATAATATAGCCATTGACCTTTACAAAGGCATTTTACATAGAAATAGGACATTTTTTCCTATAAACTCAAATATAAACTCACAAATATTTGTCCAGTGTTCAAGCACTGTGAACATTTCAAACCTAAATATATCTCAGATCACAGGGGATCTCTTAATGGCATTAAATATTTTCACTGTCATTTAACAAAAACCAAATCACTGAATGTGCTCCATTGTTAATAATATGAAGACATTTTTATGTATACATTATATTGTAGTATGAGATCACATGAACATTCTCCTAACACCTTACAAAGTTATAATTAATTTCAAAATTCCTAACTGAAAAGTATATAATAAAAATTGTCAGTTTTTTATTTTCACAATAGTTGAAATAACTTAAACTTTTGTTTTTAATTTAATGACTGTAGCTCAGCATTCTAAAGACTTAAAAATGAGAGAACTACAAATATATAAAATACCTATAGATTTAAATAAACCACCTTCTAGCTTTATTAAGTTTAGTTCAGTTCAGTCGCTCAGTCATGCCCGACTTTTGCGAACCCATGAACTGCAGCACTCCAGGCTTCTCTGTCCATCACCAACTGCTAGAGCTTGCTCAGACTCATGTCTACCGAGTCGGTGATTCCATCCAACCATCTCATCCTCTGTCGTCCCTTTCTCCTCCTGCCTCCAATCTTTCCCAGCATCAGGGTCTTTTCCAATGAGTCAATTCTTTGTATCAAGTGGCCAAAGTATTGGAGTTTAAGCTTCAGCATCAGTCCTTTCAATGAACATTCAGGACTGATCTTTAGGATGGACTGGTTGGATCTCCTTGAAGTCCAAGGGACTCTCAAGAGTTTTCTCCAACACCACAGTTCAAAAGCATCAATTCTTTAGCACTCAGCTTTCTGTATAGTCCAATTCTCACATCCATACATGACTACTGGGAAAACCATAGCTTTGACTGGATGGACTTTTGTCAGCAAAGTAATGTCTCCTCTTTTTAATATGCTGTCTAGGTTGGTCACAGCTTTTCTTCTAAGGAGTAAGTGTCTTTTACTTTCATGGCTGCAGTCACCATCTGTAGTGATTTTGGAACCCAAGAAAATAAAGTCTGTCACTGTTTGCATTGTTTCTCCATCTATTTGCCGTAGATCCAGATGCCATGATCTTAGTTTTCTGAATGTTACGTTTTAAGCCAACTTCTTCATTCTCCTCTTTCACTTTCATCAAGAGGCTCTTTAGTCACTGTTCATTTTCTGCTATAAGGGTGGTGTCATCTGCATATCTGAGGTTATTGATATTTCTCCTGGCAGTCTTGATTCCAGCTAGTGCTTCATCCAGCCTGGTATTTCTCATGATGTGTATTTAAGTTAAGTGAGCAGGGTGACAATATACAGCCTTTCCCTATTTGGAACCAGTCTGTTGTTCCATGTCCAGTTCTAAATGTTGCTTCTTGGCATGCATACAGATATCTCAGGAGGCAGGTCAGGTGTTCTGGCATTCCCATCTCTTTAAGAATTTCCCACAGTTTATTGTGATCCACACAGTCAAAGGCTTTATTGTAGTCAGTAAAACAGAAGTTGATGTTTTTCTGGAACTGTCTTGCTTTTTCAATGATCTGACAGATGTTGGCAATTTGATATTGGTTTCTCTGCCTTTGCTAAATTCAGGAAGAAAATCTGGAATATCTCAGTTCACTTGCAGTTGTAGCCTGGCTTGGAGAACTTTGAGCATCACTTTGCTAGTGTGTGAGATGAGTGCAATTGTGCAGTAGTTAGAGCATTCTTTTGCATTGCCTACTTTGGGATTGGAATGAAACCTGACTTTTTCTAGTCCTGTGACTACAGCTGAGTTTTCCAATTTGCTGACATATTTAGTGCAGCCCTTTCACAGCATCATCTTTTAGGATTTGAAATAGTTCAACTGGAATTCCATCACTTTCACTAGCTTTGCTAGTAATGATGCTTCCTAAAGCCCACTTGACTTCACATTCCAGGATGTCTGGGTCTAGGTGAGTGATCATACCATCATGGTTATCTGAGTTATGAAGATCTGTTTTGTATAGTTCTTCTGTGTATTCTTGCCACCCTTCCTTAATATGTTCTGCTTCTGTTAGGTAACTACCATTTCTGTCCTTTTTTTGTGCCCATCTTTGCATGAAATATTCTATTGGTATCTCTCATTTTCTTGAAAAGATCTCTAGTCTTTCCCGTTCTATTGTGTTCCTGTTTCTTTGCATTGATCACTGAGGAAGGCTTCCTTGTTTCTCTTTGCTATTCTTTGGAACTCTGCATTCAAATGGGTGTACCTTTCCTTTTCTCTTTCGCTTTTCACTTCTCTTCTTTTCTCACCTATTTATAAGCCCTCCTCAGACAACCATTTTGCCTTTTGCATTTCTTTTTCTTGGGGATGGTCTTGATCCCTGCCTCCTGTACAGTGTCATGAACCTCCATCCATAGCTCTTCAGGAACTGTGTCTATCAGACCTAATCCCTTGAATCTATGTGTCACTTCCACTGTATAATCGTAAGGGATTTGATTTAAGTCATACCTGAATGGTTTAGTGGTTTCCCCTACTTTCTTCAATTTAAGTCTGAATTTGGTAATAAGGAGTTCATGGTCTAAGCACCAGCCAGCTCACAGTCTTGTTTTTGTTGATTGTATGGAGCCTCTCCATTTATGGCTGCAAAGAAAATAATCAATCTGATTTTGGTATTGACCGTCTGGTGATGTCCATTTGTAGACATGTCCATTTGTAGTCCATTTGTTGTTGGAAGAGGTTGTTTGCTGTGACCAGTGCTATCTCTTGGCAAAATCTCCTAAAAACTTAAAATGTGAGAGTACTACAAATATATTAAATACCTATAGATTTGAATAAACCATCTTCTTGCTTTATTACATCTATTTATATTAGGAACTTAAATATATGATTTTAAAAGCTTGCAATTTAAGAGCTTCTATTGTTTACAATCTTTATTCTTTAATATAATACACTTTTCAAATAAATCAAGATTTCAAGTTTTTTGTATTACAAAACCATTTTTGGTTCATTGTCTCATATTATTTCTGGCAGAAACAGTCCTCTCCCCTGACACATACATACACTTTGTAAACTGCTGAAAAACAGAGATTTTCTTGGTCATCTTTCTAATTTTCAAAGCAGTTAATAAACTTCTATCTTACACTATTTTTAATAAACTCTTTTCAATGACCAAGCTTTGGGTGTAATGAAAATATATTGATACAGAATGAATGTAAAATCTATGTAGAATGCCAATTACAAAGTTCTCCTAATGCATTAATAATAAATATTTATATATGACCATTTTCATCAGAAATAATAATACTCTGCTATATAATTATATATGTAAAATGGATGTATTAAATGAGATTTTTACTATGCTTAGAGGATTCTAAAAAATAATATTTATAAATCTTCTCAGAAACTAAAGCAAAAATATGTAATATAATTTGACATAATATACAAGCTCATGTGTGTTACATTTTATGTTGAATACATCTTGTATGTATATATTATTTTCATTTTCATATAGTATATTTAAAAATTTATTAGTTTTTTCATGTAGTGAAAGAAGTTTATAATAAATAATAAATTAAAAGATCACTGTGCAGTGTGCTAGGAGAAAATGGCATCTGAAATCAAAATTATTTTTAATTAACATAAACAGAGATTGAAATGTAGATTAATACAACTCATTCCATGTTTTACAGGAAATATTGATGAAGCAGAACGAGAATGGAAAGCAGGATTCCATCGCTGGAACAATTACATGATGGATTGGAAAAATCAATTTAACGATTACACTAGCAAGAAAGAAAGCTGTGCAGGTCTCTAATTAATAGATTTACCTTTTATAGAATGTTCATTTTCCTGTAGATCAAGGCAAAACTATCATTGGCTCTCTTACACTTCTGGTAAGAAAGCTATTATGTATAAAACAAAAATGCCAAAAGGATAAAATCAATTCCTCTCTTCTTTCACTTAGTATTGTACCTAGCATTTCAAAACCCAAATGGCTAGAACTAGTTTAATTAAATTTCACATTATAAAGTATGACAATTAATTATATGCATATTAAAATGATTTGCAGCTTCAAACTCTCTCTTTCCTGAATAACTTTAAGAAAAGTTTTCCCTAAAACATATCTGAGTTCTGTTTCCAATCTCCAATTTATTTTTATTACCACTGATAAAATATATTTTTAAAAAATGGATGGGAGGTCTTGAAACATTACATACTGTGATTTACAATATTATTTCCTTTTAACTAATTTATGCATTTAATGTTAACATGATACATTAAAACAAACAAAGTAATTGGCCGCTTTGGTTTTTCTTTTATATGAAGGCAAGAAAATTTATTTAAGAGAATCTTAAAATAAGAGGCTTGATCACTTGGAATCATCTAATGATAGAAACAAAATGTCACAACCAAAAGACAAAATGTAAAAGAATATAATTACTTATATTTTGAATTTTTTAAAGATGTGTATGCTTATAGTCCTCAAATTATATTCCTGTTCTTTCAACTTTTTTCTTTCTCACATCCTCACTCCTCAATTTCCCAAAACATGTCCACATGTAAATTATTCTTCCTGTAATGCAAAAATTATGTACTATCTGAAACATCCCTTGACTGGACCCACATATATCAGGATTTTAGTAAAGAAATTGTTCAATTAAAAAAAAAGATTATATTTTCTTCAGATAAATTATATTGTTTTGTAATTTTAAAAATTATAAATCTGCATTTACTAACTTTCATGACAAGGGAACATATCCCATGAATAAATTCACTGTCTTTCATTAAAGGGACAATGTCAGGAGATTTTAAATCCCAGGAAAGAGCAGCACTGTTTTTGTTTGTTTTGCTATTTTGCTTTGTCTTAAATGGCCATCACGTCTTTTCTCTTTTTTTAAACAGTTTTATTGATTTTTTTCAGGCTGTGCTGGGTCTTCGTTGTTGTGTGGGCTTGCCTCTAGTTGTGGCAAATGAGAGCTACTATTCTTTGCAGTGCACAGGCTTCTCATTGCCTGGAAACAGGCTCTAGGGCACATGCCCTTCAGTAGTTGCAGCACGTGGCCTCCGTAGTTGTGGTTCCCAGGCTCTGGAGCACAAGCTCAGGAGTCATCCTGCACAGGCTTAGTTGCTCTTAGCATGTGAGATATTCCTGGATCAGACCCGTGTCTCCTGCCTTGGCAGGTGGATTCTTTACCACTGAACTACCAGGGAAGCCCAGGGCAGTATTGTTGATTATGCTCATTAAGCGCTGAGAACTAGTACTCAGTATAGATTAAAGACATGACTGAGTCACTAGCACAGCAAACAGAATTTGCTGATTTGGCACTAAGTAATAATAATAATTCAGATGCAAGATGACTAATCAGGCTTTTAATTTCTGTTTCCCATCGCACTTTTCATTTAAAAAGTATTGACTATTTTGTGAACTCTCAAAAATATGGACAAGCAATCATTCTTGCCAGGCTCAGAAAGAGATGCTACTAGGATTAATTACATAATGATGATTAAACTAAGTAGGTGAATACAACAACTTGCTTCTCTCCTCAGAAGCATTTGCAGAAGTCTTTTGCTTGAGGCAATTACTATATTACCTTGTTTTTCTGAGTTAGGCATTCTGTTCTAATTATTTTTGATTTCCTTCAGTGGTTAGGGGAGAAAAAACAGGAGCAGAGAGGATTTATCAAAGAAGCCTCTGGATAACAAACTATAAAAATGTATTTAACAGTGTTAAACACCATTCTAAAATCCTTGAAGTAACTATATCAAGAGAATGATCTAAAAATAAGAGAGATAGAATGATCTATCAATCTACCTTTTATCTATCTATCATCTATTAATGATAACTGCTCCCAATTTTAGTCAAAGGGAGGGATAAAAGCCAGAGGATGCTACTAGTATACCTAATACAACCTGGAATATAAATTCAGTCATTGCCTTGACCAAGATATCCTTACTGTTCCCCTCAGCTTGACTAAGCTTTAGACAGATTTCCTTCTGGCTGTGGGCCTCTGACTTCCAGTTTCTTAGAGAATTTGCTTCAGAAATGTTGCCATTGTAAATTCTTTCTCTGCCCCTTTGAAATGTGTATAAATCTCTCAGCCTCTTGTCAGTTTTACTACCCATGAAATGTCTTTCTCAAGGACCTGGGAACTATTACTTTGAAATTAAACATTAAAAGAGATAGTGGCTCCATCACTCAGTCTCGATGGGAAGATAGGAGCCTAACTTCTTTGGGAGCCAATTACCAAACACTGATGGCTTAATCCCAGAAGAAAACATTGCAAACTCAAGAATAACTCTATGTGCTCAACATATCCCATTGGTCAGCCCTCCCCCAGAGTCTGCCAGTATTTTTCTACTAGCTCACCTCAACACGTAAAAACCTTCACATCTTTTATTTCAGAGAAGTTGAGTTTTGTCTCTCTCCCCATTTGCAACTGTTGTTATTGTTGTTCAGTTGCTCAGTCATGTCTGAGTCTTTGCAACACCATAGACTGCAGCATGCCAGACTTCCTTCTCCATCACCATCTCCCGAAGTTTGCTCAAGCTCACATCCTTTGAGTTGATGATGCCATCCAACCATCTCATCCTCTGCTGCCCATTTTCCTACCTTCAATCATTCCGAGCATCAGGGTCTTTTCCAGTGGTTCATCTCTTCGCATCAGGTAGCCAAAGTGTTGAAGCTGCAGCTTCAGCACCAGTCCTTCCAATGAACATTCAGGACTGATTTCCTTTAGGATGGACTGGTTGGATCTCCTTGCAGCCCAAGGGACTCTCAAGAGACTTCTCCAACACCACAGTTCAAAAACATCAATTCTTCAGTGCTCAGCTTTCTGTATAGTCCAACTCTCACAAACATACATGAATACTGGAAAAACCATAACTTTGCTTATATAGACCTTTGTTGACAAAATGATGTCTCTGCTTTTTAATATGCTGTCTAGGTTAGTTATAGATTTTCTTCCAAGGAACAATCATCTTTTAATTTCAAGGCTGCAGTCATCGTCCACAGTGATTTTGAAGTCCAAGAAAATAAAATCTGTCACTGTATCCATTCTTTCCCCATCTCTTTGTCTGAAGTGATGGGACAAGATGTCATGATCTTTGTTTTTTGAACACTGAGTTTTAGGCCAGCTTTTCCACTCTCTTCTTTCACCTTCATCAAGACGCTCTTTAGTTCTTCTTCACTTTCAGCCATAAGGGTGGTGTCATCTGCATATCTGAGGTTATTGATATTTCTCCCAGTAATCTTAATTCCCCAATTGCAATAACCTTGAATGAAGTCTTTGTTGACTGTTAAACTTTGTTCAGTGCAGTTTACTTTCACAGCCTAATCCAAAATTCAACACTTCTTAAAGTGCCTAGGGCACATTCACATCTATATTAATATTCTACTACCGCATAGGGGACGACAGAGGATGAGATGGCTGGATGGCATCACCGACTCGATGGACATGAGTTTGAGTAAACTCCAGGAGTTGGTGATGGACACGCAGGCCTGGCGTGCTGCGATTCATGGGGTCGCAAAGAGTCGGACATGACTGAGCAACTGAACTGGAACTGGACTGGACCATATTAGATAATACAAGTATTTTCTTGCAGCAGATATTCTTCATAAAGGGTGATTCCCTAATGAAGAGGGGAGTAAAACTTGAATTTATGAGGTTTTGACTATCTACTTTTTAGTAAATCTTTTCTGATATCTTTTAGACGTTAGTCACATATGATAATTTTCATTCTCATGTTAATCTTGATATTTTGGCATTTTTTGTTTTTAGCATTTCATAATATTTCATGATATTCTCTTTTCTACTTGACATCAAGTTTAAGTTTTCTTGATTATATTCTTCTCATAGAATGGCTGAGGACAAATGGATTCACTCATTTTGCATGCGGGCTTTCTTTTTTCTTCTTTCCTCTCATCTTTTTTTTCTTTTCCATGAATGCAGAAAATAGATACAGATTCTTGTGTTGTGGTCTAGGAATCACAGGTGATATAAAGGACTGTGTATATATTTTTAATGCAAATTTTCATTATTATACTGTTAGGCCTTTGGGATGAAAAAATAATATTTTCTAAGAAAAAAGGTATCATGAAGAATAACAAACTTCAAGAATCATACTGCAAGGACCCCTTTGAAGGCACTGTGTGTAATTTTATTTTTGCTAAAGACTTTCCAGAAGGGCCTGAGTTTCAGGAAAAGCAAAATTAGTTTAGTTTCTGTTTTTCAGTGCATCAATGGAAATGCATCTTTAGTCTATAGCCTCAGGCACAAAACATTTTTAGTCCAAGAGGACTCTGCCTCCCTCCACTGCCTTTAAAGACATTCCACCAATTTTCTTTAGTTGAAATGTGCTATCATTGTTTTACAACATTGTAATATGCTAATTTTGAAGTTACTATCTTTGTGCAAGGTAATAAGTGAGTAAAAACTCAAATGCTAACATCTGCTGTGGCATTTCAATTTTAAACCAAATGTGTGTATAATATTCTCTTTGGTAAGTGAATTAACATTTTCACATAACCATGAAAGATAAAATTTTAATAATCTCCCTTGGAGTTTTCTCTTTGAAGTCATGTGCAAAATATTAAGTGAGAAGAAGAACAGAACACTAGCTCTTTCTTATAAGATTATTGAAGTTTTCAAAGATAGAGAGTGAATACCATGTCCTTCCTCTCAGCTCACCTGGAGTTACAGTCAGTTCTGAGAGGCAGCAATTTACTTAGAGTAGATTGAAGTCTACAAAAAATGCCTCAAATTCCAGAGCACCTATGGTTCTTGATCAATGGTTGACACTGCTGTACAGAATTCT